CCAGTAATAAGAGGCGGTAACCTTCGTCTGCATAATGTTTGGTAATCTGCATACATTTCTGCCAGATCAGGCTGCTGGTTTCTTTCCAGTTGTTTACCATCACCAAAATCACTTAAAATGACTTCATAAGCAACACGATATTATTTATTCAATTTTGATGCTTTGCTAAATCCACATATATTTTGTAGAACGAAAATACAGGCCTATCCACTTCTAAATTCCTCTTATCGGAAATTATGACTACGTTTCTTTTCTTCCTATCAAAGGTTGTGCTTTCTGGTTTTAAATAGGACCTTCAATTCCTGTAAATTTTGAACCCGACCGCCGTTTCAGTATGGTTTCGAGTTTTTAGACAACACGCTATAAAAAATACTGCTTAAGGAGCACCATAACTTTCTTTTTAGATATTCGTCACATATTACACTTTATAAGTATCATTAATAAGTCGCAAATTAGTATGATATTTAAAAGATTCAATTGTCTCAAATGGCTCTTAACTACAAATATTTTAAAACGTGGCACATCCTTTTACGAAACAATTTTATACGATAATTTAGCAAAACTTTGTGCAAATTAGATTTTCTGTCTGCTTTCTGTAATATATGTTTATATTTACGAGGGCGTCTTAAATAATTTTTTAATGTTTTTTCCTAGCAGTTATATTGTATCGAATGCGCATTCCTAAAGTGACTCGAGACAGCCTGCACTCAAAAACTGGCGTTGTGTTTTGCCCGCAAGATCTGACTTAAAAGCTGCAACATGACCTATAGGGGTAATTTTTGCAGAACAAATATTTTTCAAAATCCCGTTAAATGTTCTATGATATGCGTCTCTGAGTGGAGTTTATATTAAAAATCACAGAGATCCAGCATAATCGTCATTCAAACAAGCAGATCACTTTTTTAGGGTTGTCGAGAAACTTAAGTGCACGAAAACGCACTTTCTGCAGGAGGGCTCGAGCCGCTAAACATTAACTTTACACAGGCTCCTCGATCTCATTTTCCGAAGTTTGCGTTTGCTTTCTCTCTCGATAGGTTATTTGCATTAAGAAAAGTCAAAATGGTGATATTTCGAGTTTCGGTTGCCTAAATACACGAGGTACATGCATTCACTTAAAAACAACCCCGCATAAAACTAAGTATAAGTAAATATAAAAGAATATGACAATTTAATGAATAATGATAAATACAAATGGCAGTGAATAGTAATGTTAATGAATCCACACTGAAATACTCACACATATTGCTTTTGCATGCTGACACCAAGCGTGGTACACACCTCCTCCATCGTAATAATGCCCGAATTTTCCATGTCAAACCAAGTGAACCATTTCTGTTTTAACACAAAGAGGACTAAATTTAAATTTTGGTTTGATCTGCACGGGACATGGGAAGCAAAGGTAAATGGCTTTAAAAACGTTTCATATTTTGATTCAGGCAAGTTGGCCTTAGTTTCCGGTAAGAGGGTTTTCCGAATTAAGTTTTTAACCTGATGCATCCTCCATAAATACTCGGGTTTTCTAAGAAAAAGCTTTTGGCGTTACGATTTAAGACTTTTCGTTACCAGATTCATGATCGATATTTAATACTGGGATAGATTTTCTCCTTAGTAAATGAGTGATTTTAATATAGATTTGATTATAGAAGTCCGAATATGCCTGAGGGTAGACGACTGGATGGGAGTCCACAGCTCCACAAAAGGAGCATGTTCTACAAAATATCTGTTAACTATCGGACTAGGATTCAGCTCACTGCCAATGGACAACATCATTGGCTACCATGAGCTACATGTAAGTAGGTTGGCACTCATTTAGTCGGCGTCGCAAAGGAAAGCAAAGTTTAGCATATAAGGCACATTGATAGTGATCTTTTCCTTGATAGGCTGGAGACTACAATTGTCTCTTAAGTTATAAATATTGAATTTGTGCTTTTTAAACAGAGAGAAAATTGTGAACGTCTGGTCCTTGATGACAGTTACTGTCCGCGCTTTTTCCATCTACCATTCAAATATTCTAAAGATGGATGTATTCTTAAACTGATAGGGCTTTAATCCTTTCCTGATAGTCTATTTAACTATGCTGCAAAGATTTTATTAACCCTCCTAACGGTTACGTAATTGCTGGCACGAGCACTTCTGTGGGGGAAGTCTCAAACTCGGTTGTCTCTTTGGCCATCTAAACAAGTATAATTTTTCCTCGTTTTGATAGAAATATATAAATACACAAATTATAATTTATAATTTATAGACAGAAGGACATTACCGACATAGACATAGGACATC